ATTAAAGCTTGCAAGAACAAAAGGGAATAAATTTATGGTAACAAAAAAAGAGACCACGAAATAGAGATATCTAGAGAATCAACAACTCAAATAAGACATATATATATATACATGATCTAAGCCAAAACCTGATGTACAACTAGTGCTATTAGTCTTGGATGGTCTCGTATAGACTTATAATTAATGTAAACAAACAAGAACATGAAAAACGGTTGTTAGACAAGCCCCCCTCATAAAATAAAATAATGTTTAAAGTCATCTATATATATATTTTTTTCAAAATCATGATTTAGAAATGATTTGTAGACATTAATGAAGTACTTTTGAGCGTTTTCGTCATTAAATTTTACAAAATCATTGAACGATATGAGAAAATAGTTATGGAGCCGGTGACAGTTCTGTTTAAAGAGACGTTGCATGGTGGTCAACTGTTCATACAGAAGACACATGTAAAAATCAAATAACCTAAAATCAATTTGCTAACCTTTTTTTGTGCAAAGTTGTCCCCGACGTAAAGAGCACATGTCTAAGAGGAAGACAAACATGGCTAAGAGGAAACATTGTGGTCATTCTTATTTCTTAGATCATTGTTGTTGTCCAACAATGAATACAATGATTTTTTTTGGACAATAACAATTCATATTTGTGCAGAGAGAATAACTTCTTAGCATGTATTCATTTTTGAAAAATATCTAATCAACTTTTTAAAAAAAAAAAATCTAACAACTACCTTGTCATTTGTTTAAAGGTTTAAATTGTACTCTCTGCCAAACCAAAATAAGTAATTTTGAGACAGTAGGATATTTCAAACCCATCTAGTAAATTATACTACTTATTAGCAATTCGAGTATATATATTGTTCATGTAGATCGATATATTAGGGTTTTCTATTATCTATGATTAAAACTTTTATTAACAATGAAAAAATTACAATAGACCATGAATTCTATTACTATAGGAAAATATCTACTATAAAAGTAACAACTACTACGTAAAATTAAAAAGACACATGTATGATAAAAAGAAAATAAATAAATTAAAGCGTGAGACGATAAACGTAAGCCAAACATTTGTATTTTCTGTTGATTTGGCGTCCATGATATTATAACAAGGTTGCACATATAGTTGGATTACATATCAGTCATAAGGTTTAACTGAAACATTCAACGCCACATGTATATTAAATTAGAAAAAGATTTCCTAGCGTCATTTGCTTAGCTTAGTTTTCGATCCCTTGGACCAGCTGTTGAACATGAGTTCGATTACAAAGGTTTGGATATATTAGATGGATAAAGTCACCTAGAATTCTGATTCTTTATTACTATGAGAAACACTTGTGGCCGAGTCGTTCAAAGGCCATGACCATGAGACAACTTATCTCCTTTTGCAAGTTATCCGATATGTCTGATAAAGTTTTGGGCAAGGTAAATCCGTAAATGTATGTAGTTTGTTGCCATTCTTAGAATTCCAAAAGTACTCCTAAGAATATGGATACTCTCACTATTGAGATAATGACATATTTACATTCAGTTTTACCTACAATATATATATTCTAGCATATCATTAAAATCTACATATTCATATAAATATTCTATTGTAGATAAAACTGATATGCTATAATATATTGTAGCATATTCATATAAATATTCACATAGAGATATGCTAGAATATATATTGTAGATAAAACTAAATCTAAATATGTCTTCATCTCAACAGTCACACTCTAAGTGTAACCTCTTTATAATGTATATTGAAATGATCTTAATTCATACGTGACCTGAAAAAATTAGTCTATGGCATGTGTTTGCTATAAAAACTACCTTTGTTTTATGGAAAAGAGTCCGAAATACATTTTTTTCTAGATATTGTTTTTTCGATTTGATTTTTTTTTCTCTCATACGAATTTTTCTTGAAAGAACACAGTTTTTTTTTTTTCATATTTCACATAAAAATAGCCTAGAAAATGATCTGGTATCTCGTGGATCTTTTCCCTTTAAATTCAGATTCACAAAAGCTATTTTTCTATAATGATGTATTTCGATTTTGATCTACTAACCTGAATGTCAGAGAATTCAAAAAGAAAAAGAAAAATTCAACATTCTTTTACTTTTACAAGGTTTTTCTCGTTTGCTGGAGATATTTCCATCCAACGATTAGATTCGCACCAAAAAATTTCCGCAATAATATATAGAAGTTTATACTATATAAAATTTCTGACTTCTTCTTTTAATATTTTGTTTCCTATACCATTAAACTATATGATATCAGATCTAAAACAAAAATATGTGACAGACGTCCATAAACTTATCATTATAAAATTACAAATGGTAGAGCCGACCGACGTCAAAGAATAATAGTCTAATAAGACGTACCAATTCGAAAGGAGCATTTAGTAAATAGCATTATAGTTGTGGAAATTTCGTCACATTGTTTTCATTTGTTCATAAAAAGACAAAAGGTCACCTGACAAAGACTTCCAAACACCGACGCTTATGTTTGTTTTTGATCTAACAGTGTACAATGTCTTTTAACTATAAATAGCCTCTTATTAATTTAATGCACGAAAATAGTTATGTTTACAAGTTCACACTTCACAACTCGAAAAATTGTTGCAAATCAAACTTAAGACAGTATTTGTATATTTACAGACTATCTAAATATCCTGAGAAATTAGCAAATGATTTTGTTTGTACTTGAATACGTTCAAAAGATTATTAGAAGAAAAAATACACTGCCTTAATGACACACACACACACACACACATGCCACTTACTTGGAGGCTTTAACGACCTTCCACGATGAATTCATGGTCTTCTTCCAATCTTATTTTATTACTACTCCCTTTTGAATCTTCCTTTTCATTAAAATATTTTTTTATTTCTACGAAAACGATTTACATTATTTAGACTATTCAATTTAACCGTCTAGTTTTAACATTTACTTATTCAAAATTTCTTCTGAATTTTTCTTTAACTATATCTTCACCTTTCATTTTCCTAGTTACATGTAACATGCACACATCACCCCACGACATAAAAGAAAAAAAACAAAAAACAAATACGTATCAGAAAATAAAATGAAAGTGAAATTAATAAAAATTATAGAAAATGCAATTCATAGTTTATTGTTCCGGATTTACCCTTCGTTCTTCGTCTATTTAATGAAACGTAGTGGTAGCCTTCAAAGAACTACTCACAAGCCAAAGGCCAAAGTTACAAACCAATAACCAAACTAATATTTCCTTTTACTTCTCAAACACTCTTAAGAAAACTTCTCACTTCTCTCTTAAAACCCACACATACACTTTTTCTTTGCTCAAAATGGCTCCTGAAATTGCCGTAAACACGATCTATGTATCCGAAAAGTCCCATCAAGCACCTTCAAAGAGAGCTTATGTGACGTTTTTGGCAGGCAATGGAGACTACGTGAAGGGAGTGGTGGGATTAGCAAAGGGTTTGCGTAAGGTGAAAAGTGCTTACCCTCTTGTTGTTGCTATGTTGCCTGATGTTCCTGAGGAACATAGAGACATCTTGAGGTCTCAAGGCTGTGTAGTGCGTGAGATCGAGCCTGTTTATCCTCCAGACAACCAAGTTGAGTTTGCCATGGCGTATTACGTTCTCAACTACTCAAAGCTTCGTATTTGGAATGTAAGTAACTTTGATTCTTGATTCTTCACATATTAATGGTTATGGTTTAAGTTCTTTACCTTTGAATCTTGATTTCTTGATTCTTTAACTACAAATGAATGGTTATGGTTAAAAATTGTTTTGTGTTTTTTTATTTATTTATTTAACATTTGGATCTTCTTGCAGTTTGAAGAATACAGCAAGATGATTTACTTGGACGCAGATATTCAAGTCTTTGACAATATCGACCACCTTTTCGATTTGCCTGATGGCAAATTCCATGCCGTGATGGATTGTTTCTGTGAGAAAACATGGAACCACTCGCTTCAGTATTCGATTGGGTATTGTCAACAGTGTCCCGAGAAGGTCACCTGGCCGGAAGATATGGAGTCTCCTCCTCCTCCTCTGTATTTCAACGCCGGTATGTTCGTCTTTGAGCCTAGCCCTTTGACTTACGAGAGCCTCCTTCACACCCTCAAGATCACACCGCCTTCACCATTTGCTGAACAAGTGAGTTTACATTTAGTTTCATTGGTTTTCTTGCAAATTTCCAAATAAGAATCAAGATCTTGATATTAATTTGTTTGAAACTTTGATATTGGTAGGATTTTCTCAATATGTTCTTTGAGAAAGTGTACAAACCAATTCCTCTGGATTACAATCTTGTTCTTGCTATGCTTTGGCGTCACCCTGAGAACGTTGATCTTGATAAAGTCAAGGTTGTTCACTACTGTGCAGCTGTAAGTATTTAAACCCGATCCGGTTTTGTTTTTAACTTGTTGCTGTAATTTGATTTTTGTATTTTTTTAACTGTTTGATGGTGGAATTAATATAGGGATCAAAGCCATGGAGGTACACAGGAGAAGAAGCTAACATGGACAGAGAAGACATCAAGATGTTGGTTAGTAAATGGTGGGATGTTTATAACGATGAATCTCTCGATTTCATCAAACCGAAAACCGAAACCGTTACGAAATCGAGCATCCTTGCTTCCGTACCCGAACCGGAACTTACCTTCTTCCCCGCACCTTCTGCTGCTTGAGAACGTCTTTGTGCATCAAGAGACTTCGTTGTGTTCCTCTTTATATATATATTTTCTTTTGATATTTCTATATGTATAATATGTATACATAGTTTGAAATTAGTATAAGCGGAAAATAGAAACCTTGGTGGTGAGTTTTGACATCACAGTTCTTATCTGCTCTAGTATATGCTTAAAAGTGTGTAAGGTGTTGTTTTAACTACTAAATAAATAAAAGTTTTCTGTATTTTGTATTTAACTATATTTACCAAATGTTTCTTGATCCAAAACAATATGTAAATAAATGTGTTATCTACCTCAAGAACACATAACAAGTTGATATAAGAGATTTATCATAATTCCAAGGAGTTGGAGTAATACTCACCTTCTAGTTCTTGATCTTCAAAGAAAGATGTCTCAGATCCGCCGTCGAAAAACAAGAACGGAGCAGGTTCTTGGTCTCTCTGAGGCTTCCTCTCATTCATTCCAATAACCGTAACGATCTTTCTCTGGATATATTCTTCAACAGCCTCACGTTGAGCTTCTTGTGGGGTAAAGCCAAGAACAGAGAAGCAATCTCCTTGGAAGTCCATGTCAGTCGAAGAGAAGATTAGTCCTGCTAATGATCTTGCAAGATCAGGGACATAGCTGCAAATCTGAAAAAAGATAAAACAAGAATCAAGAGATTTGACAGTAACAGTTTAAAGGAGATTGATTGAGAGAGTGTATGTACCTTACGAGCATGTGAGCTTAGAAGAAAGCCTTCATGTTTAGCCTTTAGATCATCCAAAGCGTTTTTAATTCCCTTCTTGACGAGATTGATACCAGGCTGATCAGTCTTGTGTCTCGTTGGAGATTGATTGTGATACCAATGGAGGGAGATTTGGATTTGAACATATGAAGGGAAATTCTCCCATTCGAGAAACACATGTCCGTCTTGATCATTCACACTCGCTAGAATCAAACCGTAACTTTTCCAGTCGATCTTTCTCAATGCGGTCAAGGCAATATGTGGAATAGGTGAAGGTGAGAAATTGTCAAAGTACAAAACCTGAGGAAAGTTGCATTAATTTTAAGAAGATCAATCAAATATGAATTACATGTATGAAATTTGAGAAAAAAACTGAATAGACCTCTGTTTTGCCGTCACATGATTTGCTGCAATCTCGAGTTGTCTCTAGTAAGTCACTAATTGCAATCACTACGTCCATTGTCCCTCCACTTCTCTTGCGATTCTC